TTTGTACTGTTACATTGTTTTCAGCATGATAATGACCAGAATATTTGTTCACTTAAAATTGCCAACTTACGACGACCGTCCCATGATGGGGTGGTTGCTGAAGAAACGCGTGGATTCATCAGTTGAAGAACACGATGAATAGTTGAAGAGCCTTAGCTTAATTCACGGCTGGTGTTTGGAGTTGCATTGGGCAATATGTGGCAGACTAGGACACATAAATATGAAACCAACACCACGTTCTGATATATTTCATGTGTGGCTTCAATTTTAATAACCAAGCAATAGACACTCGAGCATTTGAATTTGATGTCACACATGCAGTACTTAACGGGACATCACAGATAATCAACACACCTGTTAATTAACCAACCCTTCTTCTTCTTCTTCTTCTTTTTTCGCTTTCATTTAATCTGTATTTTTTGTTCTTCTACAGATGCATGAACAAAAGAAAGGGTTCTAAACGCTTACGAAAGAGTTGGAAGAAGCGACAAATTACGTTTCCGTGTCTTTTCCACTATTAGAACATGATGCGTATTTGGTTTGTAGATGCCAAATGGACAATAATGAGTCTAAACATGAAGGCATTTAATGGTGACTAGTTGCCAGCTGATGCATGAAAGTGACTTCAACGGCAAATATAGCCATTTCAAACCTCAAAATGAAAAATATTCTTTCTTTCTTTTTTTTTCAAATGCAGAAAAAGTGAAAGGTCATGTCTTGAACCAATGGATCTTTCTCTAGGACTCTAACTAAGCGCACACTTGGCAAGAGATAAAATGGGAGTAAGATTTACTCCAATATAAAGGAGGATAAACTACAGATTTGGACGTTACATTAAATTTGATGATTTAAATTTAATAATTTTTAAAAGTGTAATTTTAATTTGAATGGTTTAAATTTATAATAAAAGAGCAATGGAGAGAAACTAACCCCGAGATGGAAAAGAAAAATAATACAGAAGAATTGAATATATCGTTAATATACATCTAGATGCATGAAAATTAAAATTTAAGTCAGGATTTCACTGCAAGAAAAAATTAATTAGCAATTTCAACATCAAATATAGCCATTTCAAACATCAAAACAAAGAAGAATGTTCATTTTGTCCTCTACAGAAAAATGAAATAAAGGTTCAAGTCTTAAACCCATGGATCTTTCTGTAGGACTCTAACCAAGCATATACTTGACAAGAGATAAAATGGAAGAAGGGGAATATCATGGAAAATTGAATATATATATATCCCTCAGCGTTTGGATGCATGAAGATGAAAATTTAAGTTGGATTTGAGCCAAATCCTTCATTTACATACGAAGAAGTCTTTCAATTTTAATTTCATTCAAACCCAAATCCATATTTTATAATAACTTTTTTGTAATTAATTTCAAATTCTCTCTTGATCTCATTTATTTTAAATTTCACATACTCTAATCCTCCCTTTTTTTTTCATGTTTTTACCAAGGGTGTCTTTTTTAGTTTTTTCACTCCTCTCATCTCTTATCTGTCTCTAATTGAAGAATAAAAATAAGCTCATCATTTTTAATCTTTTATTTCTCTTCGAATTGAGCTCATCTCTTTTTTACCTTTAAAATTTTTATATTATTCAAATAAAATATTTTATATATATGAATTTTAAATGTAATGTTTTAAATTTAAAATTTAAATTCAAATCCATCAATTCAAAGATTACCTTAATGCTTTCAATCTCTTCATTTTATTTTTCACTTTAAAAGTGCTTTCATTCTAGTAATCAACACTCGACAAAGTTATGATTCATTTTCTGATATGCGTGGTTTAGAGTAGAATTTTGATGTCAAAAATAGACTGTTTCTGAGATTCACCATATCTGCTTAAAGATATATATCTTCCCCAATAATGGTAACGCACAGTGCAGCGCTTGTGAGTCTGGTGAAATAAAGGAAAGGACTACCAACCAAATCTTTGTGATCAAAACTCACTCTCATTAACTGTTTAAAAACAGTATCAACATTGAGTCCCACTCAATGAACGGCTCATCACCTTGTCTGGCTCTCCTTAATTTGATTCTAATGGCAATTTTGTGGGCACAATATCTGATCAATGTACTTTCAATATTTCATGGCATATCCCATTTTTTTCACACTAACAACCAATATATCATGGAGAGTAAAAGTTCACAACCACTTTTTTAAATATTTTTTCCGTCAGAACTTAATAAACTTTTGTCCTCTTTTGGAGAAAGGATTCTCAGATAATGCGATTAACCGGAGGGTAAATAATAATACTAGTTAATATTCATCCATGTCATATTCTGGGACCAACCTTTTAGGGGATTAAGACCTTAAAGATCAAAAAAATCTTCATAAAACGACAGAAAGAACACTTTCATAGGCCATAGTTATCATCATTTATGCAATGAAGTGAGGCTCTACTATAGGATTTTAATTACCAATAAGCTTAATATAGTGGCCAGTTGCTTGCAATTTTCTACAATAATGGAGAAGAATGTGATCTCTTGTGGTCTTTGAGCGCTATGATTTGCGTAGTGTATATCGAGTAGGCTTACTTTTTCTTTCTTCTCTTTTTCTGAGTTCATAGTTGGGTTAATTTGCTTTTAATTAATCTTTATGTTAAAAGGTGTAACACACATAATGATGGTTAATTTATGATGGTTGAAACGTTCACACCAATGAATTTGTGAGGTAACTTTACATCACATCTAGATAAGAATATTCTATGAAAATTAGTGACCACCCTAACGTCACAATTCAATAATTTACATTTAAACTTGGAAATTCAGCTTTCCTCCACTAATTACGTGATGATTACAAATAATCCTACTAATCCTACTCGATAGCCATTTAATTCAATAACAATAGAATTGTACAAACTTAACTAAAAGTTTCGAGTTGGAGTTCTAAATAATACCATCATGTTAAATACTCACTGATATCTTACCACTCGAAAGGATCTCATAGGTGCTTAACTCAGATTAGTCCGAGTTTTGATAACTCCCTTTAGCTCAAGTTACGTATGCCCAAGTCATTGGGTACAATACGTTTTTTTTTAAAAAAAAATGGTGAACCAATACCTTTAATCCACTGTGAATTATAGAGTAAATTTATGACACAAAATGGTAAAAAGTAAAAAACGAATAAAAGGCAGTCCAACCGGTCCATTCGATTCCAAACATTAAAATTACTTAAGTCCTCATATTATAACCTGATGGTAATCTGAAGGATATTCACGGTTTTTAGATCAATTGATCATGTGGCTAGAAACTGATCTCAAATGAACATTCGAGCCAAGTGATAGATTTTAGGTTCATGCATGAACGAAAGCAATTGCTAATCAATCTCTCTGTCATATCTAACATTTTCTTAATGAGTCTGTTTCTTTTGTTTTTTTAATCTTTCTCAAGAAAAAGTTGTATAGCACTAATGCAAAAAGACGTTCTCATGTAAAGCTAGTGTGTTTCCTTGGGTTTCAACATCATCATATGGCATTTAGCAATACACGTTTCGATTCACAGAATCCAGAAGAATGGGGAACCACTATCTACGTGCCTTTGTGATTATTATTTTAAGCTTTTGGTTTTAATAATAATTAACCTCAGCATAATTCAAATTCATTATATATGTCTCCTTGCAATGCTTTAAGTAATAATTAGCATTAAAATGACTGATATGCCGACAGCCCTAAAGGTCAACTTTACAAGATGATGCATGGAAATTTGCTCAACAAAAAGCTTGTAAATATGTAAAGAGGATGAATTTAAAGATTGGGAATACCGTATGAAAGTAAACGAAAAAAAACCTCAGAATTTCTAATATCATTTACTCTAGCTGCAGAGATTATGCAGCCTGCTGTGTTATCGAGGATGAGAACATATATTATTATTTAATAATGCTGTTATAAGAGGTTATAAATGACAATTGCAGCAAAGTAAACTTAAAGGATTTGATCTAAGCATTTTGAGCCTAGGGCTTTCAGCAAAGGTCACAGTAATTCAAGAATCCCAGTGGCCCCAGACTCAGTGATTGTGAAAGTACGAATCCGTTGACAGTACGACATCCATATTTAATATCTACCGTAAATAAGAGAGAGAGAGGGAGAGAGGCAAGGACCCTTCATCAAATTTGCTCAACAAAAAGCTTGTAAATATGTAAAGAGGATGAATTTAAAGATTGGGAATACCGTATGAAAGTAAACGAAAAAAAAATCAGAATTTCTAATATCATTTACTCTAGCTGCATAGATTATGCAGCCTGCTGTGTTATCGAGGATGAGAACATATATTATTACTTAACAATGCTGTTATAAGAGGTTATAAATGACAATTGCAGCAAAGTAAACTTAAAGGATTTGATCTAAGCATTTTGAGCCTAGGGCTTTCAGCAAAGGTCACAGTAATTCAAGAATCCCAGTGGCCCCAGACTCAGTGATTTGTGAAAGTACGATTCCGGTGACAGTACGACATCCACATTTAATATCTACCGTAAATAAGAGAGAGAGAGGGAGAGAGGCAAGGACCCTTCATTGGTGGTGCATCGTAGCAGGAATTATTCTATATTTCATGTCATATCAATTACAGGATCATATTCTGCACGGTGTACCCACATTGAGAAAGAAACGCCCACCCGGTCCGAGCAGTTTGACTTCTAGCGATTCTTTTTTCCTTATTTGTTGTACTACTTATTTCGTAGAATGGACAACACGCAGCCTAATTAATAGCATGTCCCAAAATGAATCTAGACTAAATTTTACTAGCATCCATAAACAAGTTTCTAGACGTACCCAACCCAGCCGATTTAAATGAAGAAAGAAAACTGTTTTCCTCGATTTCCAAAGTCTCGCCATGACCGATTAAACTGGGCAGCAAGATGTTTCCTGGCCAATAAGATAGCAGAGCTTGACAGAACCAAATAGGCACATTTTGACGATAAACTATGCTAAAGCGTTAACACGTACAGAGTTAGCGGGCAAGTAAGAAGTCAAATAACTGAACAGTAGGCTGGAGACCTATGGTAACAGGATATTCAACTCTTTCAAACAAAACCGGTTCCTATTTAGATAATAATATTACAAACTCCACAATCCATATTAATAACGAATTTAACTTGGACGGAGACCAAGACAACCACCTAAAAACATAGATAAGGAAACAACTTAATCCGAATTTCTTCATCAAAACCAGGGGATTGTCATTCACATCATATCCTTGGATCTCCACAACATTGAACTTCGACAAACAAAATGCAATCAAACCAAGACAGGCAATCTCTGACCCCATCTAGCTCCTGCTCTTGGATTTTTCCATAGCTCTGGGCGCTGTGGTAAACAAGAAAAACCACTTACACCAAACCAAGACATGTTCCATAGTGAATGTATAGTATAAGGAGGAATATTATTAGCAGGCTTGCTGATATTTGACGTGATACATTGCATTCGGGCAAACACATCCAACCACACAAGTAAACGCCAACTTGTTCCACATAACATGACAATCCTTTAAAAACCAATAACCTACTTTATTCCTGATAAAATAATTTAACTTAATTAAAAAACAAAAGCAAGCTATTTTTCTTCCTAACTCGAGATTATTCCCATGTTGACTTTTATGTTTAAGGAGGCCCCCCTTGTCAATTCAATGCATAACCTTCAAATAATAAGAATAAATACTGTATAATGAAGCATCAGTAAAAAGGCATACCCAAGCCAATGGCATCAGAACCCTTCATAATTTTCAGCTTCTTGCATGTGTCAATGAACATCCTGTGACAAACAGTAAATGATAGTTTGAATTAGAATGCAAACCAGGAGTAGCTGTAGTTACTGTAAGTTATCCCACCATCGATATTAAGATGCAAACAGAAAGTAAAATTTGCTGCTACAATTGACGTTCAATCAATAGAAAATATTAAGACAGGACAAGAGAATCATTATTGGAGAAGCCTTTTTCTCAATAAATATCATTATTGAAGCCTTAAAATCAAATGCAGCAGGAAAATCTTCGACAAGATGTTATTCTGCCCTTCTAAACAATTCCACTGCAAAAATCAGCCACTAAACTTCCCACATGTTGCAACTTTCAAGCAAGATTAACATCCAACTTCCACCAGTGCAGCAATACTATTGATAGTTTCCATGTACTACAAATCAACAAATGATGTTTAATTTGTAACTTGAGCACATCTAGACCATACAGTTGAATTCAAAAGATATTCACTAACTCCCTTTTAAAGTGAATAGCACAACTTCTAACAAGCTTAACGAGCTGGAGCCATGTTGCACAGCAAATTAGCAATAGAATATTCAAGGAAAACAACACTAAAAACTGCACACAACAATGAGGTGCTAAGTTATCCACAAATCAAATTCAAGTAGGTAAAAATAAAATAGGCATTGTATAAATAATATTATAGTTGTGGACCTTTTCAGAAAAGAAAACAGACACGCAATATGAAACCCATGTTGCGTACTATGTGATTATGCACAAGAATTTATGCGTAACAGGAATTCAATTGAGGTACTATGTCATCGTCACCTAATTTATGTGACAAAAATTCACTTGTCAGATACTATGTTATCCACAAACCAAAATCCAGTAGGTTAAAGTAAAGGAGGCATCATATAAATAACAAGACATGAGTCCCTTTCAACAAAGAAGAGATTCAGGTGTGCAATGTGTAACCATGTTGTGCACAATGCAATTATGCATTAGAATTTTCTTGAAGCCAAGGCTTATGATTGATAAAAAGACCATGCATTAAGGAACAAAAGCTAACCAAAAGGAGTTAACAGATTGGAATTACATTAGAACGGTATTTTATACTAGTAATACAAATCATTTAACAGCTGAAAAATTCATACTGTAAGACGCATCCCACAAATAGATGTGATCAAGAAAGCCAAAGAAAAAGTTTTATAAGACTTACCCCCATGGTACATCCCCTACAAGCATCCAATCACCATCTTTATCTTCGTAAGTGAGAACGTACTCAGAACCATGTAGAAGGTCCCTCAACTTGCTCTCACTTAACATTTCTCTGCCAGGAGTGCCATGAGAACCACATTGACCTGAGATCATACATTTCAAGAAAGCCCAGTAAAGCTATGGCAAGGGTAACAGAACTAAAATTCATTGAAACATGAGTAACAACTTCAAAATCAAGTAGATATGCAGCTACTCACCTAAGGTAAAACAGCTGAACATCTTCTCGAGGGCAGAAGACAGCTCTTGATATGTTGCATAATTCCTTAGATCTACCTTCCTTAGATAAGGGGCACCATCCATGCTCACCTTCACAAAGAGAGCAGCAGGCCCTGGTTTTCCATCAACTTCATCATTGTTCTTTGAAGTGTTGGCCAATGAATTCTTCCTATAAGATCTTATAGGAGGCCAACCAACAACTTGTGACCTGTCATGGACAAGAATAATTGGCATAATTAGAGATGCATGAAAATTCATTCTGAGGTCATTATCCTACTCCCAGTTTATTTGCAATAAATAAGCCACTGTTCTAGGTTCCACTTACTTAGCAGCTGGCACGCTGCCATTAACAAGGTTCCCCGCATGATTATGACCAAGTCCATTGGTTGCAGAAAGCCGTTCCTGTGAAACTTTGGCAGGCGTTTCTTTCATAAATGTTGGCTGAGCCCCAGAAGACCTAGGTAACATCACATTTATCCCAGAATTACCAGTAAAATTCCCCTGCACCACAGATTATGGAAGATTAGAGTCAGAAGGGGAAAAAAAATCCACTTCCCTTCAATATGTAGAACTCCTTACCTCTGGGAACCCATCCATGGTGTCAGAGAAACCTCTCTTGTTTCCTGAAACCACAGTTTTCGGGGAAGATGAACAGATTCCATCTTTTGTAGGAAGCAAAGGAAACAGAGGTTTCTCATCAAGCTTTGTTGAGTTTGGTGCATAAAGATCTGAATCCCTTTCAGGAGACTGGGATCCAGGAAGACCCAACCTCAACTCTGTAGCCTTCAAATTCAGGTTCTCCTTTTTCTCATCTGACATGGTTGGGACACTAGAGCTGTCAACTGATGATGAACAATCTGACAATCCAAGGTAATTGCGCTCTTTTAATGCAGTTCCATTATGGGAGATAGAGTCCGAGGACGGTGAAGATGCTACTGTTGAAATATTGCTCTGTCCTTCCTCCTCGGCAACAAGCAGCGATGGAGACATCAGATTTCAATATATAAATGGCATTAACTGAAACCATAAACCAATAATATGCATAAGTAGTTGTTAGGAAGAAATGCGACATGTGAAAGCTTGAATCAGTGACCAATAACAGAAGAAAAATGAGCTTGGTAACGAAAGAACAATATATTGAACTATAGACAGCAAAGCAATAAATGGGCAACCTTCCTTCCATAGAGGAGAATATTAGCCAAGTACTTCAAAAAGTAATCAGGAACATCTAAGAGGTCTCATCAAAGATGAGTAGAGTCCCAGATCATAATAATCACAATATTAGCATGCACTAAACTTCTGGACTACGCAAGTAATGCATTTATTTCAGCCATCATGCATTTACAAAGTATGATGAATAATTAACAATGATGCAAAGATCACAATATGAACATAGATAATAAATAATCTAATAAGAAAATTAAGTAACCCTCTTTAGCTTGCCAAGCTGGGTGCAGCTCCAGTAAGTTAAGAAGGGTGGTGGGAGGATCTCAAGATTTTTAGAAAACTGATGGGTTACAGAAGGTCATGTTGTCTGAGTAAAAACAAAAAAAGCATAGATATCAGAAAATAAAGCTCTACCAAAGAACCAGGGTTTTCAAGCAACCCGATTCAGTGTACTCTAAATAATTACTCTCAGCCGGCGAGCTAACCCGCTGTCAAGAACATAACTATTGCACGCAACTAAATTCGTGTAGCTATCACAATACCATGTCTTCGTCGTCTTCTCTAACAACGCATTTTTGTTTGTTTTTTAAATTCAATAACTTTCTATTTAAGCTCCATAAGCTAAATGTTCCCCAAGAAATAGACACAAAAAAAGGAAAACCATAACAACATTCAGGAACCCTGGCTCCACGAATCCAAAGCAACCCTTGTCAAAACAAAGCTTTCATCAAACCGTATGCTAAGAGTCAAAATAGAAGATGGAAATGAACCGAACAGGATGAACAAGAATACAAGTCCAAATTATAATATTATCCTGACCCAAAAAAAAAAAACTAAAAGGCACACTATGCTTGAAAGTGCCAGGGCAATTCAACTCAATCAATATACGCTCCGATTCGTGAAAAGCAAGGAGCTAAGCACGAACAGCGACACCTTGAGAACAAAAATAAGAAAAATAGGAATAAACATAGAAGGCGCGAAAATAGAAAGAGGATGGCAAGGGAAGATTTCAGAAGCTTACCAAACAAGGGATTGCTAGATCAAACAGGGAAGAAGACCAATTATTATTGAGAAAGTTTTTACAGGAAATGCAAAGCGGATGCAGAGAGAGAGAGAGAGAGAGAGAGAGAGAAGGTAAAGCGGAAAAGAAGAGAAAGCTTAAGGCCCTTCCATGGAGCAGAAAGCAACAAAAGCTCGGCACGGCTTCGCTAAGAACCTCAATGAATGGGGCGAAAGAAAAAGTTAAAGAAAAGCGGGAAGGGGCAAAACAGACAATTCACAAAAAAGGTCGTGTCTCGTTGCGGGCATGAGTATTCTGATTATTAATAAATTAATAAATAATACATAAATTTTACGCTCCGAAATGAGTAGTGGGTAATTTTATGGTACGCGTATCTAGGAGGTGAGGGATCCAATCAGACGGCTGTGATTGATTGAGAGGGAAATATCACGCAATCAATCTCACGGAGACAGAGAAATAAATGACTTGTCCCTGTTAACAGGTGTAATGAATTATGATGCCTTTTCTTTTATTGTTTATTTGAAAAATTTAACGTGATGCGATGTTGGGATGCGCACTTGCACAGAACCTAAGCCCCGTGCGATTCAAATGACAAACATACCCTTGATTTGGTCTTTCGCTGATAAGCTATCTATTGCAATTGCAGATTCCTTCCTCCAGTGTGGGGAGAAGACTTGGCCCAAAATGGGAAATAAAAGAGTAGCAATTAAAAAATAGAGCAAGTCCAGGCAGAATTAAAAAAAAAAATCTCACTTTAGTTTGATTTTTCTTAATTACAGAAGCAGGAACAAATAACACACCCTGCCCATTTTTAAATACAAAAAATTTCAATCAATTCATACAATTAAAAATATTTAATTAATCTTAATAATTATTTTTGAATTTAGAATGTTTGGATTAAAATGTTCTTAATGTAATTAATGTTTCTTCTTTTTCAATTTAATGATGTCAAACATGTATGGGGGATAATTTAAAAAAAATTAATTAATGCTTTTTGAAATGTGTAGTTTTTTTCATAATAAAAAAACAAAAAAATACTTTCTTCGTTTAAAAATATAATATATTTTTAACTAAATTTTACTTTCAATAAAATAGTTATCTACTTTTTAATTAACCCTATTTTTATAATTACTCTTATTAAACACCTTATAATAGATATAAAGTTATTTATTAAAAATGATACTTTTAAAAGAAAGACAATGATTACATCTTAAAATATTAAAAATGTCTTATCTCTTGTAACATTTAATTTCCTAAAAAATATTTTATATTTGTAAATGAGGAGAGTATATGATAGTTGATCTTATATTTAAAGAGAAAGAGAATAACAGACATGATCAGACTCGCAACCTACATGTCATTAGTTTACAAAGGCATAAACTAATTTAATTTAATTCTAATTTATAAATAACCAAGGTGAGTACAGATTTTTTTCAGTCACGGGGCTACAAAAAAAAAAATACATATGCAAAGAGGTGTGAAATTAAATCATATTTAAAAGTATAACATCCTTACAATCCACAAATGGGTCATGAAAAATCATCATGGCAAACAACGTGTGCAGGTTTAAGCAGGCAATGATTGGCTTTTACGAAAATGTGATCAAATATGGCAGTTCAATTTCTTTTTTTGCTTGTTTTTTTTTTTTTTTGCCTTCGACAGTTCAGTCTCAAACAAGAAGATTTCTCATATTCTTCTAAAGTTTCTAATAAATGGATGATTCTGGACACATTCATTAAGGATGAGATCGGTAGCTAATTATATAAAGTGGCAGAAGACATACTTGACCTAGCTTTACATCCGAGCAAAGGTTGAGGCGTTCAAAATTTGCCAGGAGTTTAGTTACGATGTTAGGTGGATATCAAAGGTATTTTCAAAAAAACTTTTCATCCGATTGTCATTCTCATCTCAAATAATGCCCCTACAAACACTGCTCCATTTTCATCCACTTCGGATGAGTGGTGATTTTACAGATTGCCTGGCTTGTTTAATTTAAGAAGATGGAAAATCACCTTGACCTTATTAGAAGTGCAGGGTAAGTGGAATATCATGATACTTGGGATTTCAAAGTTAAAAAATGGGACTAGAGTTCTTGAGCTAACAACTCAACATTAAGTCTCGCATTACTGGAAGTGGGTCTCACCCAGCGATTAAGTGTCTATTTGGTCAGTCTTCCCATCGAGACTGCGTCAATATATTGGGATATGTGGTAATCTTCTAAAGCATAGCAAATCTTGACCTCATTCTCTCATACTCCTCTTCAAAAAAGGCTTGCTTGGACCTCAGCCACTCTATTTCCTGACAAACATACCCAAAAAAACGGAACTTGTTTGGTGAAATCTTTTCTAGCCTCATTTCATATCAAGTTTTGAAAATTTAATTTATATAACATAATATTGATAATTTATCAATATTTTATATTAGGTTGTCAAAAATTGAATAAGCTGGCTTTTAAATATTGGTAATTTGTTTCTTGACTATTGTCAAGCCATAATTCAAATATTAATAAGTTGTAGTTCGAATTTTGATGAGTTTTTACTGGAAGGACTTTTGAACATGCAACATAAAATTGAAATCCTAGCAATTTAGCTAGAAGAAATTGACACCAATATTTTGAAAAGCAACCATTTTCATAAAAAACTTGAAAACTAAATTTGTAACAAATATATCATTTTGCACAAGAAGGTTGAAAGGCTTTAATGATCCAGTAGTCATCAAAGTATTGGTAAATTAAGGGGTTTTGAATTCAGATTCTCCCCTTGTTACCTTAGAAGTGTTGACCACCATGGAGGCATCAAAGCTCCAACAATTGGCGGCCTTGATTAAATTGAGGACCTATGGCAAGGGGAGATGTTTTAGAAAGCTTTGGACCCTAAAGGCAATTATATCACTTCAGAGGATCCTAAATGATAGTCTCCATTTTCTAACCAAACTTTTAAGTTTTTAAACATGTTTTTAAATAAGTATGATTTGGTGGTGTAGAGTGCCTGGTATCCTGGGTGAGTCACACGTCAGAGGGGACTTCAATAAGGTCCCAAATTAATTGAAATCAAACTGAGATAAGTCCTTTTTCGGTAAAAGTTTTGTCACTGATAAATACTGCTATATGTTCAGAGCTCAAACTCAATGCATTTAATTAAATTGGCACAACTACTTTACCTATTGAACCAAGCATCCAATAATGAGTAATATCATTTTAATCTACAGGAGATATACGAGATTAGTAAGTGTAGTGGTGTAATTAGAGACATTAATGTTTATTGGATATGTGATTTTAATGCTAACATACATTGGTAATTACCTCTTTGCTATTGCTGAAGTGTTTGTTCGGTATGATTTGTGGCCTCTAGTTCTGCCGGGATAAAAATCTCCATAGCTCCTAATTCTTCAGAGACTGTGTCACGACAAACAATTTCATAACTCATTGTGATATTGGCTAACATCCTTTCAACTATATCATCAAAGAAGCTAGATCCTTGTTGTTCGGGGATTGGAATGCTAGTTTGAATTTTATGTATAGTGAAGTCAACACTTGTGCTCGTATGCTAGCTGCTAATGTCTTTAATGGTTATTTATTTTGATATTTTTGATCAACCCCCACCATTTTGCATGAAAGTAATGAATGATGAACGGAAACTAACACTTATGTTGTAATCTTTTATGTCCTCAGTGCTATTTTCATTCAAAAAAGTGATTAATCCACCCTTTATGGTATTTAGCTTCGGATGGTTCTATTGACTTTTTTGTTTGTTATGTGTTTACTGTAATTTTTTAAAGTATTAGATAGTAAATAAAAATAAAAGGTCATAAGAGCTTTATAATAAGGTGGTATGAGACCCACAATGAAAAATGAATATGAAACTAATATTAAAAAAATATTTCCTCCAAACCATAATATATATAGATATATAATATCTTCCAAAGCCTTACTTGATTTAAAATGCAGGGTATTAAATAATTTTTGCAATTATATAAATAAGTGTGATTTAAAATTTGTCACTAATTTTACTCACTTATCTCCTTCGCATTTTTTGTATTAAAAATTTCAATCTACTTCTACTTACTTTTAGAAATTGAATTCATTAAATTTTTTTTTATTCCTTTATATTACAGTTGAAAGTTAACATTCAGGGTATAGTACGGGTTATAAAATCAAATTTTAAAAAAGAATTGTTGTGAATTCCACGTGAAGATGAAAATGCAAAGAATCATGAAGAATCATGATGCAGGAGGCGTGGAAAGCTTGCTAAATTAGAGCGTGGGAGGTCTGGTTCGGGGTTCAGGCAGAAGCATTGAGGATGAATGAGAAGAAAACGGGAAGGCATCATGTGAAGTAAAAGGTGGGGACTGGGGTGGGTAAATTGACTTATGAGACTGTGACAGTTGAATGATGGAAAGCTGATATTTTGAAGAAGACGACACGCCCGGAGAGTGAAAAAAGCAGTAAAACCAGCAATCTTATCTGTTTCTTGAAGGTCAACTCACATTTTATTATTGTGAATTATGATTCGTAAGGATTTGGTCTGTCTCAGCGTGCCAGGGGAAGCTGGCATTTGCATGCCAAGAACCAGGCACCAACCCTCTTCCTTAGGGTCGCGCATTTTCTAACTGAGAAACTTCCCTAAAAAACGGTCATTCAAAACCAAATAGCTCAACTGTCGCTGCATTATCTGCATTATTAAGGGATCTAATGCCTTTTGCTTCGTTGTTATGTATTTAAATTTTTTATATCATTTTATCCAAACACTATCCGTTTCAATAGCATTTGTGGAAATGGCATGGTTGATGGGTTCATGGGTTCTAAAACAGGTAAAAAAAAAACATGATTTGTATTATTAAAATGATAAAAAAAAATTGTGCCTTGTTTTTAACGTTGCTCTCCAATTAAAATCAATCTATCTTATTAGTTGCTCGGTTCAAAATTATAAAGCACTTCTAATTAGTTTATAATCAAATAAATTAGTTAAGGATATTTAAAATAACACATCTTTCTATTTATCTTTATTTGATAGTTTCTCAATTAAAAATAATCTTGCTAATTGTGCTTTCAATGATCCCAAACACTTATATTTTTAACATAATACTCCCTCTGTTTTTATTATAAGGCATATCTAATCACCTCATTGGAATTAAGGAGATGTGATTAAGTTATTAACTTTGTCTAAAAGAATAAGCTTTTAATTTGACTGTTGTTTA